TTTTTAATTTCCGATTGAACAGCGTTGATAGTTGAGCAATATATATATATACGCATAACTCATATCCGCGATTTTGAGAACAATGTATCACCCTGGCAACAAAGTTTATATTTGTTATTTGTCATTGATAGAATTGATAAACTTTGCATACGGCAAAACAGCGACTCAAACACACATAGTTGGTGGCGGGGAACCAGATCACGCGGTAGACGGAGAGACAGGATACCTCCAAGACGTATCGTCAGGGGGCTGTACATCAACAAAAACTAAAGGCAAAACTAAGTGGTGGAAAGTAGACATGGAAATGGACTATATCGTAAAATACGTTGTTGTTTACAACACGGAAAGTAAGTAATAATTGGGTAAAGAAACACATAGCTGCCATGCTGGTCCTGAAAGGTGAACAGATTCGGGAAAACTGTGTTGAGTTACTTGGCCAAAATTCCGACAGTATATAGCTATCATCATTGAAACGTGGCGTTTTGCGCCGCTCATCAACTTAGTAAATCGATTATTGTTTACACTACAATAAATCCCGTCAAAATTTGCAGTTTTTATTTCTGTTTCGGGTGCACGCTAGACAAAACCAACCTAATAAGAACGTAATATCCAAAATTTGCTTTGTAACATAAGTACAATAGTTGTCTTATAAATTTGAAAAGAAAGTAACCTAATCTTCATACAGAGTTTTATAGAAAATGCTTCTCACCGATCTTCAAAGAAGAATCTTTCGTTCGGTGACTTAAATCGAATTTCAAGATACTTGAAGCGGGGAGTCGTCACCTGCGCATGCGCCAAATAGCCATAGCGTGTCATTGTTTACAAACAAGTGTCTACCGATGAGCCTTTGCGTTTTCAGCTTGTGTTGTTATCGTCGCGTGAGACTCAATTCCAGCGCGTGCGCAGGTGACGACCCTCTCGCTTTAAACTTTACTGTGATTATTATAAGCTATTACCTTCCTATTGTTTGTTTTTTCTAAATTTTGCTGATTTTTATCCACGAGCCTTTGCGTTTTTAGCGTGTATTGTTATCGTCGCCTGGGACTCAATTCCCGCGCGTGCACAGGTGGTGACCCTCCCGCTTTAAAAATCCGATCTTTAGTTTTGAACAATACAGCATCTTTAACATGGGATTTCTCTTCTATTCCACAGTTAACAACAGTGTTCTGAACGACGCCATAGTGGGTGTCAGTCGTGACGACATTACATATGATACATGTGATATTATAACAAGTGATATGGTATCAACATCGCGTGTAATAGTTATGGAGTGTGATCACGTGATGGTTGGACGATACGTCAAAGTTACAATCAATAAACAGGGTATATCATTGACCTTATGTGAAGTTGAGGTGTATGACCAAGGTATGTCAAGCTTTCTATGAGTACTATAACAGTGCGTAGAATGACATACAGAGTGACCCCCGGGAAGGGGTACTTGCAAAAACTACTGACAGGGGTTGTAGCTGGTTGTTTAAAACCCCTACCCATTATCAGACAGAAATAAACCCAAATTGCCTACCCCTTTTCAGACAAACTGTGGATATTTAACACCCCTTTCCAGACAGTAATCATAAATCGTACCAAGGGAAAAGCAGGTTGGCTTGAAAGATAAATTGCAAAAATGCTTTGACGATCGAAATGAAGTTACAGAAAGAAAAAATCAGCTTCATTCTCCTGATTGTTGGATCACTCGAGCCCTAGAGACAGTCTTTGGAAAATAAGGTCCCTTTTTCAGACAGAAATAATGAAAAAACGATACCCCCTTTCAGACAGACAGGGTAAAATAACATACCCTTTTCCAGACAGAAGTGGTGAATTTGTGACCCCTTTTGGCGGCACATATACATATATCACTTCAATGTGAGTACCCCCCCCCCCGGGAGAGTGACCCACAAATATCAGATTTATTAAACAAGTGTAGTAATTTTCATTTATTCCGAGCATTCAGCAAAGAAGAAATAAAAATGACTACACATGTAGTGGAGCCACGAATTTGATATTCTAATTAACCCATGTGTCCATTTCACAACTTCTAAAGGGCGTTTAGTATTAAAAATGATCGTAGTTCGTTTCCTGTTCATTTGTATAACGAATCGTAGTGCATGAACGTAGATTACCTTCAGTTTACCCTGTTACGATTGAGAAATATAGTTATTTTTGGAGCCATCACTCTGATTTCAGGTACAAGTAACGTAATAACTAATTTTGGAATCAATTCAATATAACTACATATCATGTTGACATAATAAAGAAGGTAAATTGTAATGTTTTGTTCCCTGTAGATCCATTCAGAACAACAACGATGCAACCAACGACATCACCTCGTTTAACTACGACTGTGGATACAACAAAACAAATTACTAACACACTTGAAAGTGTG